TCTAGACTTTGTTTTTTGCGGTGCATCTGTATTAAATAATATTCACCTATAGAATGATCTGGTGTCATTTTCTATTTCGGTTTCTCTTCACAGCACAAAATGTTTGGATCCGTGCGCAGTCGTCATGGAAACCCTGCATCTGCTCCTCTGTGTTTTTAAAGCTTATATTACGCAAAATTGACTCTTGTGAGCTTTAAGTCGTATTATAATGTTGTTTCTTGCTCAAAATCAGACCTGGAGTTGTGTTTTTTTTCATTCATACATGTTTGAGTTTCTCTTTATTATTAGTCTGTCTACGTCTCCAAAACTCCAAATGCTCTGTTCCACCTTGTGATGTCATGAAGTGGTAGTTTTCACGTCACGCCGAACCTACACCGCGGGATATTTTGAGTCGTTTCTCTCGGCCTCAGCTCAAACAGTTCGACCAAATCACCGGGTTTTAAAAGTTCACAGCTCGTGATTCATGTTCTCACACTGAACGAACGATTTCAACAGAGCGAAACCCTCACGAGAGGCGACTGGACTCAAATCCTCACGATCTACGAATGCCGATCTGGAGCTGGTCATGAGGGATTAATCGGTTCTCGTTACCCCATGTTTGCTATACGAAGCACGAGAAACAGAAAACGCACACCAAAATGAGAGGCTGTAGAAGTGCAAATGCAAGGAGCGGCAAGACAAAAGTGAAAAAATGCATCGCACACTCAGATGACCGATGTCCAAAAGCTTTTTTTCGTTTTAAATAATGTTTTGGCAAAAAAAAAAAAAAAAAAAACTTCTTCAGATATTTTTCTTGCATTGCACCACAGTACACGAACTATATGAAGTACAACTCACGATTAAGTGAAAACTCAACCTGATCCCAAAAACAGTTTCATCTGATTCATCAGTCAGTTTCACTTCGTGGAAACCGTCTGACCTCACAGCATTAGGATTCGTTCGCTCGACAGTAGGCGGGTAATTTTTTTATTTAACCAATCGCTGCTGTTTTGGTCGTGACGTATGTAATGCTCCAAATCCCGTAGGAAGAAGGACAATAACGTCTTTCCCCTTGATAAAATTCACCAAACATTCTCTGCGTTCCGACTTTAAATCCTCGATCTCGGGAATCGTTGCCAACACAGAATGTCTGACTCTTCTCTGATCGGTTGGTGCCCGAACTCGCACTTCCAAAGTTCTTGCAAATCATCTAGTGTATTTTGATTCCTGATCTAGTCGCTGGAGAGAAATGAAATTAAGCGGAGGCATTGGTGGCGCCAGCTTGGCTAAAAAACAGTTGCACGAGTGTAAAAAATCATCTCAAAATCGGCCAAAAATCACAGAGTGCACGTCCAGCTTTAGTTAACGGCTCATGTTTACCTTTAGTTCCAGTAGAGATTGGGCAATTCGAGGGTTGAAATCATCCAAATGATTCTAGTGAAGGTGTGTGGAGTTTTAAAACACAGTGTAGTTCTTTCTGTATTACCGCATGACATCATGAGTTGGACCAGAGTGTTTTCCATTTGAGAGAAGAACTCAGAGTAAAAATGCAGGGTTTGTGTGTGTGAATGAAACACAAAAACACAACTCTAGGTCTGTTTGTGATGAGGAAACAGAGAACAGTGTCGTATGGTCACTACAGAGAATCATTTGTCCAACTTTTTGAAAAATCTTTGAAAATCAATCTGTACCTACATCAATTTTTTACACTTCCGTGAGAAATTTCATGAAATTCTCTTGATGTTTACTGTGTCCACCAACCCTCTGAAGTTTCGTGCCTGCAGAAACCTTAAATCTGAGCTGTGTTTTACTTTAATAACATCCAAAATAATGAATTTAGTCCAATAGTCTCAATGGAAGTTGAATATAAATTTGGACATTGTGGATCATTTGGTGTCAGTTTCGTGTCTTGATCATCATTCGTTTCTGAGATTTGGCAAAAGTGTCATTTCTTTGGCTCTTCAAGAACCTTAAATAACCTGAATGTAACAAATGTAGGATCTAAAACACAATATATAACTTGAAATTAATACATTTAGAACTCAAAAACTTCTACACAATCTTACTTAATACAGATATTATTATATTATGACTGTCCATTATCTGTGTCAAAACATCAATAAGAAACAGGGCAGTGCAAAAATACTGAAATATCGATATATCGTATTGTTTAATCTGATAAGTCTACAGAAAGAACAAACTTTATGTCTCTCATTTCATCTTTGGACTTTGTGGATTTTGGATAATTATGAAAAAAACACTCAAAATCTTTACAAAATTGTGATATTGTTAAAAGTTATGAAGACAGAGACATAAAATTGGTCCCAAAAGATGCACAACAACAACATTTATATTCAACTTTCACTGACACTGTGGCGTTAAATGGATTATTTTTAAAGTTACTTGAGAAATACAGATTTTTTTTTATGGACACTGTTAGGATGGAACTTAAAAGTCTTGTTGGACCCAGTGTATTTATTTAACTGAGTAAATATTCCATAGATTTTCTTTTAATTGGTTTTGTCACATTTTAAAATTGGGTACAAGTTGAATTTCTGACATTGGGGCAAACGATGCAGCCTAATGATCCCTTTAACTTCCATTATAATGACCGTTCAGTAGTACAGCTAATGTCACAGCCTCATTTGAACTGCTCCTTTTATTGAGGATGTTGGTTTTAGGTCCAAACACCTCCACCACCGCATCGCCACGTTTCGGATGCTCGTAACTCCGGGAACAACATTAAAAAAATGCGCCGTTTCCCGTTTAAATCGCGTTATAATGTCCACTGACCGTTGCACTGGTCGTAAAACGTGTCCGAAATGTCCCCGTTTGGAGCCCGTCCGCGCTGGTGTTGGTTCTGCGGGTTCGGTCTGGCTCGGAAAATGTCCTAAACGACGCTTTGGCAGTAGCTGGCGGTAGTTTTACGCGCGAGTGGTGCCAGTGGTCGAAACGCCGTAAACATGCCAGCGTTCATGTCACCGAAAACTTTTAGCCAGAAAACGTCAAACCCATTTTGTGTTGGAACTTTAGTTTATAATTAAGTAAAAGAGTAAAATATTTCTCAAGAGTGCTTCAAAGTAATCTCAAGTCGAAGTTCAAGGTAGTGGTCCAAGAAATTATTTAAGTAATGGTAAAAAAAACTACATTTGGAAACTTCTACTTATGTAAACATCTGATTTATAATTTAAAGTTTACGTGATTTGAAGGAGAAAACATGAAGTAAATGAAATAACATCTTGTATTTTCAAAGGACCGACACAAAAATGCGATAAAATAATTTCATATTGTGAACGTAAAGCTTTTGGATTAAACTTAAAAACTTTAATTTACTGAAAAAACTCAAATCTTTAAGTTAAGATGACTCAAATTAAGAAAGTTTTATCTTGGTTTGAGTAAATTTCACTTGACAAAAACAACAACTTTTTGCACTTAACATAAGAAACAAACTCAAAAATTGCTTGAAGGATGAAAAACACACTGGATTATTTCACTTTTCATGTTGAATCGACAAAAAGAAAGTCAAATGTCCTTAATTTAAGTCATTTTAACTCGTCTAGACTTTGTTTTTGTCGTGTAGACGCACTCAAAGTGGGAAGAGGAGCCACAACTTTTATTCAAATAAGAGAACCGATCAGGGCTGTAACGATATCCAAGTCACACGATACGATATCATCACAGTATGAACCTCACGGTACGATATTTATTACAATATTTTGTGGAGGCTGTGAACAAAACTGTGAATATGTGACTTTTTTCTCTTAAAATGTCTTGACAAAACTTAATCCAAAGACTTAAAAGTGTTAGAACTGTTATTTCTTCTTGTCGTCTGCATTGAAATGGAGCAAAGGATCATGGTCTGTGTAGTTCTGTGTCTTTTTTTAGCTGTTGCTGCACCATAACTCGTCATTTAAGCAAAGAGTCTTGTAATTTGATATATTGTTCATGGTCCACGATGTTAGTGTGAGAACTTTGATGATACGATATCATGATATTTTGGTTATTGTTACAGTACTGATACTTCAATTTTTTTTTAAATAAAAAAATACTCATGTACACAGCAAAAACTGGAGGAATAAAATATTTCAGATTTTTTTTTTTTTTTTTTTTTACGCAAAAACTGTTATTTTAACTATTTGAACATTAAATGGAGGTTCAAGTTGGGGTTATTTTGAGTTGATACGGTTGAAATTCAACTTCCCTTAGTGTTAATTTGGCTCCTCCCACCTACCACTTCAAACTCCCGTGCAAGAGAAGACCAGTTTGACCCAGTTTTGTTCATAATTTCATCTTAAATTAACTCAAATAAAGTGTCAAAATAAAACACCTCTGTGTGTTGTTTAGCTAAGTCAGGATAACTCTACAAAGTGTTATCCATTTACTCTCAAAGTGTTAATATAACTCTTGATTTCTGGTTAAACAGGAACTTTGGTCCAGTGTGACTTAATTAATGAACATTTCCAAAACTGCAAAAATGTAAAATTAACTTTAGAACAGACTGGACTCATATAAACCCTGAGAAAATGTTAAAATTGATTCTGTGAGAGTCAATTTTAACACAACACTTTTTGCTGTGTAGTAGTGAAAGTTAAAAGTTAAAAAGTTAAAGTAAAAGGCTACGTTTTTTTCCAAAGGTTACAAAAAAAAAAAAAAAAAAAAAAAAGGATCTCTCTACCTAAATGTAACTGAGTATTACGCATCTCTGTTTAGGAGCCAATTAAGACCAGAATTGTTTTTATTTATCTTTTTTTTTTTTTTTTTTTTACTTTTGACTACTTATTATTGAGAAATTAAACAAATTATTTTCTGTAAAGTCTCTGGGACTGTTTAAAATTATGTAGTTGGCAAGATTTTGGTGCAGTCTCTTCCCCATCTTTGCCCAGTTATACCCAAATCTGTCTTTACGCACGAGAACGCGACTTCACCAACCCCTTTTTCTTCTCTTTTTTTTCACTTTTACGCACGGTTTACGCACGGTTTACGCATGCTCAGTGAGAGTCTGGCGCACACTGCGGGGGTATAACAGCGTTTATTAAGTGATACACTATACTCACGTTTACAGGCGTAATAAACATATGCATATATACGGTTGCTATGGCTACAGACACAAACAAACAAACAGACACGACACTGACGTACACGTACACGTATAGCGCAGGCTCAAGTGCTGTACAGATCACACGGGGACGCGCTTTGGCACTTTTCACATTGTCTTTTTTCATGTCCCGAGTGTGATGTTTGAAGAGTTCATATTTTACAGTTTTTTTGGGATTCCGGAGACGCCAAACCATTCTGGAGTCCTTTTTTTTTTTTTTTTTTTTACGCACGCTTCGCCTTTTTACGCACGCCTTTTACGCGCGCGCTTCTCCACATCATGGCGCGCTCGTCTTCACTTTGGCCACGAATTTCTTCTCCTTGACGCGCCGGTTCTGGAACCAGATGGTGATTTGGCGCTCGGAGAGGTTGGTGACGGCGGAGATCTTCCTGCGCTTGTCCTTGGTGATGAACTTGTTGGCGGCGTACTCCTTCTCCAGCTCCTTCAGCTGCACCTTCGTGTACGGGATGCGCTTTTTCCGGCCGCGGCGGAAGGGAGAGCCGTCGTGTTGATGCGCCACCACGTCTGCGCAAAAACAGACCACAAGAGGAGGGACATGGTGTTATTACATGTCTGCAAACACACACCGATACATTTACGATGTTTGCGTCATGTTGTAAATACGTTTTGTTTTTTGTTTTTTTGTTTCTTTTTGTTTTGTCAGGATGGTGCAGATTTATAGCTCATTATTTGAAGCAGGTTTGACAAAAGTACAGAAAATCAGACACTAGTCCAAAATAAAACTAGTATCGAAACTAGATACTTATTTATCGCAGGTTTCGATACTAAAAAAGTCACATTCACAGTCCTGGTTTAGTCCCGGTTTAGTCTCGGTTTAGACCTGGTTTAATCCTGGTTTAGTCCCGGTTTAGTCTCGGTTTAGTCTCGGTTTAGACCTGGTTTAGTCCTGGTTTAGTCCCGGTTTAGTCTCGGTTTAGACCTGGTTTAGTCCTGGAATAGCCCTGGTTTAGTCCTAGTTTTAGGTCTGGTTTAGACCTGATTCAGACCTGGTTTAGTCCTGGTTTAGTCCTGGTTTTAGGTCTGGTTTAGACCTGGTTTAGTCCTGATTTGGTCCTGGTTTAGACCTGGTTTGGACCTGTAATAGTCCTGGTTTAGTCCTAGTTTTAGGTCTGGTTTATACCTGATTCAGACCTGGTTTAGTCCTGGTTTAGTCCTGGTTTAGTCCTGGTTTAGTCCTGGTTTAGACCTGGTTTAGACCTGGTTTAGACCTGGTTTAGACCTGGACCACTGAGGGATTACACAGATACGAGGTCACATAGGATTTTTTTTTTTTTTTAATCCCATTCTTTTGTCTAAAACAGACGTGTCAGACTCTCGACATAATTATATTTGTCCCGTGAGATCAAATCAAATCTGTATCAGAGCTGCAGTCGCACACAGATCGACTATAGACACATGATTCATTTAAAATGTTGATATTATTTTTATATTCTGCTTGGTCTGGATTCGATGTTTAAGCAAAACTTTTATTAAACATTTATTTTAATAAGAAAAGGTTTAACATTACAGATCTGGAAAGAAGAGAAAACAGGCAGATAAATATTTAGTTTGACCCACGACTTAGTCCCAGTTTTTAATTTTGGCCTCTGTGAATTTGAGTTTGACTCTCCTGGTCTAAAGAAAGTGTTTTTTTTATTTTATTTTATTATCATCATCGTGGAATCAGTGTTGTGGAATCGAGTCCAAATCCTCAGAGTCAAAATCAAGTTTGAAATTTTAGTTTTATTCAGCACAACACTAAAGAGAATCAGTCGTGAACGCTGAATATTTATGTTTAATTCAACATTACGTCAACATTTAAAAGGTGAACATTTACACACACAAACACACAAACACAAACAAACACACGTATATTTAAAACACAGAAACACACGTGTCCTTACAGTGAGCAGACTCGCCTCTCCACAAACCCGACTCGTGTTTGGTCTGTTTTCTGTATCCGTGTCTGTTTCCGTGTCGTTCTTTTGGTTTTATAATCCTCCACAATCTTCTACGTCCTAAAATAAAACATCTCTGCGGAAAACGTTCCAAAGTGTGGATTTCGCTTTCTGTTTCCGTGAAAACATGAAGTCATTTTTCCACCTCCAGAAAGTTCAAACCTCATTCCCGTGTGTCCCTTATCGTGGACGTTGAGTTAATACGTCGATCTTTTAAGTGTTTTAAGATCGACTCTTAATGCGGGGACGAAATAGGAGTTAGTTTAAAAAGAAAAAGAAAATTAAAAGAGAGTCTAAAAACATTTTGAGGCGACTGTAGAAGCTGTTGGTCTTCAAAAAGTTGTTTTAGTTTCACACCAAAATGTCTCCGGCGTCAATTACATAGGACGTGTCTCGAAATTATAAATAAAAAGAACAAAATCTAAATGCTAAAGTGTTAAATTTTCATCCAAATAGATTTAAAAAAATCACAAAAAATAAATATATTGTGATACACTTTTTGTCTTCGGATCCACTGTGCATCAAAAAGCTTATTTCTCGAATTTTTGATGTAAATATGAATAAAAATAAAAATAAATAAAATAGAAATAAATATAAAAAATTAAAATTAAAATAAATAAAATAGAAATAAATTAAAATAAAAAAAATATAAATAAATATAAATAAAATATGAATAAAAATGTTCTGTTTCAAAAATCAGAGCACAAAGGAGAAAAAAACTATCATTCTATTAAACGAGTAACACTGTACGTTTGTTTGTTTGTTTGTTTGAGATGGAAAATCAGGAGCGTCGCCGTTGACGTCGGACTCAAAACGTCCTCGACATCATCGTCCAAAACCCGAGATCAGAGCAGCAGCGCCGTCGGGGGTAAATCTCTAATTACAGTTTCTCTGACGAGCTTCGGATCAGCGGTTTGATTTCATTTTAAACACATCCGAGAGAAACGAAGAAAAAGACGCAAATCTGTAACTACAGCACACGATAAACGACTTTTACACCGAATAAAACCGTTCGGAGACACGGGAACATTTCAGAAGACGTTTGCACAAATCTAAAGTACAGAATTTTCACAGATTTTATGCAGAATAAGAAACATTTTGTTGTTTGCGCTGGAAAAAACAACATCTAGGTCGATTAAAATGACTTAAATTAAGAACATTTGACTTTATTTGAGTCGATTCAACTTGACAACATGTCTTTTTAAGTTTCTTTTTTAAGTGCGGCAAGATGCATTTTCAGGTTTTAAGCTAAAAAATCTTAATGCACTTGCAGAAAATTCCAATTTCAAGACTCAAATCCTGATCAAACTTTCTTAATTCAAGTCGTCTTAACTTGACTAGATTTAGTTTTTTGCAGTGAATGATAATAATGCTCATTTTTTAGACAGAATAATGGAATTTTCAACACAAAATAATCATTACTTTATGGTTTTATGTGAGTTTTAATAAAGCTGTAAGACTAAAGTTTGTTCTGTTTAAGTCATTTTTTTTTTAGTATTGACACGTCTTCGGGATGTTTTGGTTTGTTTTTGGGATCGATTAGTGTCTGATTTTCGATACTTTTGGTAAACCGACTCTGCACTCTCAGCCTGTGTGTGGAAAAAAACTGGAAAAAACAATATCTAGATCAGTTAAAATGACTTAAATTAAGAACATTTGACTTTATTTTGAGTCGATTCAACTTGACAAGTCAAATGATCGACCAGTGGAACAAGTGTGTTTTGTTTTGTTTCTTATTTTAAGTCCAAAAAAGTTGTTATTTCTCTTTGTTTTTAAATGTAGGAAGATGTATTTTCATATTTTAAGTACAAAAAGTCTTGTTCCACTGGCAGAAAATTTTGCTTTTCAAGTCAAATTTACTCAAACTTTCTTAATTCAAGTCGTTTTAACTTGACCAGATTTTGTTTTTTGCAGTGAATAATAATAATAATGTTATTTTTTTAACAGTATAATGGAATTTTCAACACAAAATAATGGTTATCTTATGGTTTTATGTGAGTTTTAATAAAGTTGCAAGACTATTTTTTAGTATTGACACGTCTTCGGATGTTTTGGTTTGGTTTCGGGATCGATTAGTGTCTGATTTTTCGATACTTTTGGCAATGCGACTCTGCACTTCTAGTCTGTGTGCTTCACTGGAAAAAAAACAAGATCTAGGTCAATTAAAATGACTTAAATTAAGAATATCTGACTTTATTTCGAGTCGATTCAACTTGAAAAGTCAAATTATTGATCAATGGAACAAGTGTGTTTTGTTTAATTCAAGCAACATTCGATTTTGTTTCTTATTTTAAGCGCAAAAAGTTGTTGTTTCTCTTTTGTTTTTAACTGTAGGAAGATGTATTTTCATATTTTAACTACAAAAAGTCTTGTTCCACTGGCAGAAAATTTTACTTTTCCAGTGAAATTTACTCAAACTTTCTTATTTCAAGTCGTTTTAACTTGACTCGATTTTGTTTTTCGCAGTTTGTCGAGGAAATAATTGCACTTCAACAGTAGCGGCTTTAACTGAGACTGTATTTGTTTTAATGTACACTTTTATATGGATTTGTGCAACACACACACACACACAGACAGACACACACACACACACAGACACACACACACACACACACAGACACACACACACACACACACACACGTGCATGTCATTAAAACAATAAAAATACTCGTCTAATTATCAAATATCCAGCCAACAGCTCACAGAGTTTGTTATAGTTTGGACCGTTGCCGTGGCGTTTAACGATTCAAAACAAAACATTTCTAAATCTTTGGGACGCCCGAAAAGTCCTCAAAATGGCGCCGATGACAGGAAAGTGGCTCCCATTTAAACTCTGGATCATAAGAACGTTTTAAAATCCATAACGGAAGCAAAAAATACGTAAAGCGGGTTACGTTTGTCACAGATTTAAATGAAAATAGTTTCGAGAATGACAAAAACTACACGACAAATTTGAGTTTCCGGGTTTGAAATGTTGTTTTACGGCGAAGAAATGTGCGAAAATCTAAAAAATTCGAGTTTTTGTGGTGAACATCGCGATAAATCTCACAGGATTAATTAGTCCAGAATAAAATTGTAAATCTGCAAAAAAAAAAAAAAATCTAGTGAAGTTAAGACGCCTTGAATTGAGAAAGTTTGATCAAGATTTAAGTAAATTTGACTTGAAAAGTTAAATTTTCTGCCAGTGGAACAAGACTTTTGTATTTAAAATATGAAAATACATCTTGTTAGACTTTTAAAAAAAAATAAGAAAATCAACATAAAACGTGAAAATTAAAATGAATACAGTCTCAGTTAAAGCTGAAACTGTTGAAGTACAATTATTTCCTTGACAAAAAACAAAAAAACACAATCTAGTCAAGTTAAGACGACTTGAATTAAGAAAGTTTGAGTAAATTTCACTCGAAAAGCAAAATTTTCTGCCAGTGGAACAACTTTTTGTACTAAAAATATGAAAACACATCTTGCTACGCTAAAAAAAAATAAGAAAAACAACAACTTTTTGCAATTAAAATAAGAAACAAAATCAAATGTTGCTTAAATTCAGAAAAACACACTTATTTTGTTGCTAAATCGACTCAAATAAAGCAAAATGTTTTTAATTTAAGTCATTTTAACTTAGCTAGATATTGTTCTTTTTCCAGCGTGTCTGTCCAAACCCATTTCGATTTCCAATATTTAACAAAATTCCATAATTAATCCCAAATCTGTCATTGAAATTCCAAAACGCCCCGCTTCGTTTTTGTAGATTTTTTTGTAGAAACCTTTAAAGGGTTACACACTCACCGCTTATGGAGCACTAAAAATACTTTCCTAAACCAAACCGTGATGTTTTGAGTCTCGTTATTATTATGTTTTTTCCATCTTTTCTTGATTATCAGTCGTGTTAATTCGGTGGTAAAAGCTTTTCAAACGCCGCGGTCTCGTCTCGTGTCGCCGAAGCAAAAGTAGGTCACGGGGACTTTTATTACGGCCGACCAAAATAGAAGCCATTAAAGGGGAGGGGAGCCTTTGCGTAACGTAATAATTTCTTTGGAGAACGCAATATAAACTCATTTACGTGATAAAAGTTGTGCGTAAAAGTTGTGCTTAAATGTTGTGCGTAAAAATTGTGCGTAAAACGATTCTTGTTTGGAGAGACGGTTTCTGTTTCTTCTTTTGTTTTTTGTTTTTGTGTTTTTTTTTACTGTAAGGCTATGGACTAATAATATTTTTTTCTTATTTTAAATTAACACAATTTTAAAACTGTAATTTAATTAAATATTTTCACAAAATCAAAATTTTATCCAAAAACAAAAATTAAAAAATGAAATAAAAACGTGTTTCTCGCAGCTTGGTGCAAATCTAAAATTATTTCATGCCACGTTACGCACAGTTTTAAATTATAAAAATCTGTTCTAAAAAATCAAAATGAATTTCCACATCATTGTTCCAAATTTAAATATGACTATTTGTAATTTAGTTAAATTTTGTTTGCATTTTTTTACGCGCACGAACATGTTTTTTAGTGTTGAAAATAATGAATTTTCAACGTAGCTGCACAAAATTCTCAATATTTTCTCATTATTTAAAAAAATATTCCACAATAAAGTGAGATTTGTTTCTTTTGTTTCTGTTCTACCAAAAATAAAATCATGTGTAGAGTGCGTAAAGTGTAAAATGTGAAGTGTCGCTGGTGTTGTGTGTGTGTGTTTCTTTGGGAGTTGTGTTGTTGCTGTTGTTGTTGAACGTGTCTCTGTGAGTTTTTGTGTCTAAAATCGTCCTCGCTGCTCGTGAGTTCGTTTTTCACGCGTGTCAGAGTTTGAGTGAAACGGAAACCTCCGTGTGTGAAACGTCAAATCAAACCGAAGACGCGCGACAAATCAGAACCAAAAATGATGTTCGCCGCCATTTTCAGAACGAAGCAAAGCAAAGCAAAGCGCGTTTTACTTTTTAAAATGGAGGCAAAAATAGACGAGCTCTGGTCCAGGACTCGGCCGCGTTTTGTCCTCAGCTGAGCTCAGACTAATAAAGATGTGAGTGAAAAGTGTCACGTGTTTGTGTCCCGTGGAGAGAAATGTAACAGTGTAACGTGTGAAAGTCAAATCATTTCATGTGAATCGTTTCAGAGGCTCACTGTTCATTTACACTCACTATAATTATATTATTATTGACCATCATCCCGGTGGATTATCACATGTTACAAGTTGTTTACGGTCCTGTGCCTCAGACCTTCACGTGCGGCTCCGTGGACAAACACAGCCTCATGTCCAACAGAGACACGAGCCGCTGTGTCATTATTGGTATTTGAATCTTAATCAGAAGCATCACTTTAATCTCATTAATACAGGGGTCACTTTTCACGAGGAGCCACGTGACCTTTCTGTTGATGAACTAATTAAAGCCTCGTGCGATGCCCTCTATCATATTTGCCTTTACGCAGCTTTTACGCACGCGGAATGTGTCCCTGTACTGTCCCATTCAGTGACCTGCACACACACACACACACACACACAACACACATACTCACAGCCCGGGAGCAGACACACACAGGCGGCCCGGGGAGCACCCGGGGGTGACCTACCCGCCAGTGCGCTCTTCCACAGGTGGCTCTGGCCCTGCTCTTTGCAGTACATCTGTCCGCCCCAGCCGTTGGTCAGGGCCCAGGGCTGGTAAGTGTCCACGGGCAGCAAAGTGTCGTGCCGCGGCTCCGCGCCGAGCGTCTGCACCACGGACACGTCCAGGTAACTGGCCATGGACTGGTAGGGCCCGGGGTAGCTGTGGTAGAAGGCGAGCTCTTTGGCGCGGTGGTTGGGGTACTCCTCGGAGCTCACGGGGGTGTCCATGTACTGAGAGCTGAGCGCTCCCGCCGCCTGCGTGCACGACTTGAGCGCCCCGCGGCTCATGCGGCACGGGTAGTAGCCGTTGCTGAAGTAGCTGTAGGGCAGCGCGGTGGCGGCGGAGGAGCTCTGGTGCGGCACCGCGGCCGCGCACGGTCCCGCGGTGCACTGCTTCCCCGTGACCGCGCCGCTGTCGCTGGAGCCGGACCCCGACACTTCCACGGCGGGGTATCCCGCGGAGGAGTGCACCAGGCCGGACGGATGCCCTCCCAGCGCCGCGGAGTGCGCCATGATGTTGCGGCACTGCGTGGCCGCGGCCGTGGGGAAGCCCTCCATGTTCTTGTTGAGCTCGTCCAGGTTATTGTCGTACACAAACATCACCGTGTCCGCGTGCCAGCGAGGGCTGAGCACGAGCGAGGCGCTCATAGGGCAGTCCGCTGCACGCGCCTTTGCTACATGGGCTGCACGCGCTCACAGACCTCAGCTTCACGCGCTCACCACGGCCGTGGCGCTGGAGGCAAAGACCCCGGTGCGCGGCCGCAGCGCCGTTACATTCAGCCGCAGCCTTGACGCAACGCACCCCGGGGGCACGAGGAGGTGGCGCGCCTGTCCATTGGATGAGAACGGCCAGTCACGTGACGTGACAAGAGAAAAAACCGCAGAAGAAGAGTCCAGTTGATGACTGTCAGTCAGAGTGAGTGATTTAACGAGCGGGGCGCAGCGTGACGCGGAAGTGCAGCAAATACTGAGAAGCTCCGTGCGTAACGGCCCCGGTCCGGCCTGACAGACACTGTGTGCATTACGCAGTGCGTAAAGATCCATGTCTCCAAACAACAGAGCTCAGTGCAGACTACACCCAGGTCTATTTAGTCTTTAGTTGCGTTTAAAGCGCCGTAAATGACCCGCGCGCTCTTAACGCGTCAGAATAAACCGGTGTAAATGCACCGAATTATAGACACGTTATAGACTAATAAGCAGCGCTGCCAAATACATGAAAACTCTTTATCAGGTCGTAAAATATTTTTTAAAATTATAAGATGGGAGGGACTTTTACTTTTAGCCCAAACTTTGAATATTAAAGCCCGGTTGGCCGTGGGACGTCACGGACACACTGGAGTATGGAAGAGTTTAGATCCTGGCGCGGGCTCAGACTTTGCCGCAGAGTCTCCTGCGCCTCTGTGCCACAAAACACATCCACGGATTTCACACTCTGACTGGGGCCAAACACTCGCACAAATATATTCAAGGTTATTTCAAAGTCACCCAAAGCGTGACCGTATTACGCACGAAAATCCCTTTTTAATAATCTTATAATAATGATGATAATTGTTGTTAGTTGTATTTTTATTATTTTTCCTAAATGAACAAACTCAGTGACACTAAACATCACCTCTGCGTAAATCTGATGTCCTCTTCTTCTGCGCACAAAGTCAAACACACCTCTCCAAACCTCCCGACCTTATTAGACCCGGACAAGTCTTTAGTGCGTAAGGAACAAATAATCGGTCAAATGTGTTAATAAATAAATAAATATGGATTGTAAACGGCTGTGAAACCCGTGCGTAATAACCGTGCGTAAAAAGTGGGTCAGGTGAGACGCCACTTGGAACGGCTGGAAAATCTTACTGTTAATAGTTATTTTTATTTATTTATTTATTTTTATTTATTTTATCCAATTCCTACACATTTCACTTTGATCGATTTGAGAACACGTTAAACTTAAATGCTACTCACCAAAACGTCATTACGCAAACAACAAAGACGCATTACGCTTTTTGTTTTTATTACCGTGACCAATATATATCTTCAAATACATCGTAAAATATGTGTTAAATTCTACTTACATTGTTAAAATTTCTACTTTGAGTTCTCAGATATAATTCTCGAGTTGGTTCACCGTATTAGGACCACAAATGGCACGCGTCTTGGAGTATTTTTACATTTATTTATTAGCAATTAAAGTTTACAAATATTGCGTTTAGTTTTTTTCTAAATCCAAATAATTCTTTATGAAAATTACTACTCTAATTTTCACTTAATTCTTGATTTAAAATGTGTAAATTGTAATTTTTACGTGAAATTTCTGAACCAAAAATCCACAAACGTTTTTCTTTTTCCATGTTCATTTCTATTCGTGACAGCTCCATTCTCTCTGCGTATTTACTGGAGACATTTGACCTGCCCCAATTCCACTTAAACACAACAGGATACGCATGGGAGGGCATCTGATTGAAACGCTACAACAGTTGGAGAAAGGTGAGGTCAAGTCGATGGTACAAACAAACTCAAACTTTTGCGTAAATGTTTTTGGATGGACGTTCGTTTAGTTTACGCGCGCTCTCCCCCCCGGTGCGTCCTTGGCACAGCGGGACACGTTTTGCGCGCGTCCGGATTTGGCACGGAACCTCCGGTGTGGTCCGAGGGGCGAGCGAGGGGGTAGAGGGGATGAGGGGGTGGGTGGAGGGGGGGAGTAGAGGTCAGACCGGGCCCCGCGAGGTCAAGGTCAAGTTTAACACGGGACCGGGCGCGCGTGAAGGGGGGGAGAGGAGGATGAAGGGAGGAGGAGGAGGAAGACTAAAGATTCAAGTTCAAGTCCAGCTTTTACCCCCACACCCCAAACTTACCCCACCTCCTCCCCTGTGCGTCCGTGCGCGCGCCGCTGGAGACAGACGCACCGACGCCTGCGTAAAAACGTGAAGGAAAAGTGTCCAGAAATGATTGACTTAAATCCAACAGGACTGCGTAATTCAATTTGTGTCAATGTTTTTTACCTTTTTTCCTCAGAAATCTTTGCAATTTGAACTGACCAAATGGTTTTTTACCTTCACGATTCGAGTTACAAGAACAGACAAAAACAGTTTATGAATCAATATTTGCGTTTCTTGAAAATATATCGATGGCAACATTTGAGAATTTTACGCACACTGGAAAAAAAAAACAATATGTAGGTCAAGTTAAAATGATGTAAATTAAGATATTGGCGTTATAACGATGTCACAGTTTCAGATGTTTCTCTCCAAATCTCCAAATTTCTGAACCTTTGTTTGTTTGGAATCGACTCCACAAATTTGTCGTATTAATTTTTCGTGCGTAAAGTTCAAAATGACGCAGTGGTTCATCTGCATCGACGCTTTTTTGTTTGTTTGTTTCATGTGGATTGGCTCGTGATTACAGAAATATACTCAAGTAGCATGTCTTAAATGAAGAATATTTCACTTTATTTGAGTCAATTCAGCTTGAAAAGTAAAAATTTCTACCAATGGAATAAGTGTGTTTTTCTTAATTCAAGCAACATTAGATTTTGTTTCTTATTTTAAGTGCAAAAAGTTGTTGGGTTTTTTTTTTTTTTTGTATTTTAAGTGTATTTTCATATTTTAAGCACAAAAAGTCTTGTTCCACTGTCAGATAATTTTATTTGTCAAGTGAAATTTACTCAAATCCCGATCAAACTTTCTTAATTCAAGTCGTCTTAACTTGACTAGATTTGATTTTAGATTTGATAGATTGTTTTTTGCACTGAATAATAATAATTTTACACAGTTTAATGGAATTTTCAACACAAAATAATCATTACTTTATGGTTTTATGTGAGTTTTAATAAAGCTGTAAGACTATGTGTTTTGTTTACATAATATTTTTTAGTATTGACACGTCTTTAAATGTTTTGTTTGGTTTCGGGATCGATTAGTGTCTGATTGTCAATACTTTTGTCAAACCGACTCTGCACTTCTAGTCTGTGTCTGGAAAAAAAAAACAAAAAAAACAATATCTAGGTAAATTGAAATGAATTAAATTAAGAATATTTGACTTTATTTGTGTCGATTCAACTTGACAAGTTAAATTTTCCTCCAATGGAATAAGCAACATTTGATTTTGTTTCTTATTTTAGGTGCAAAAAGTTGTTTTTCTTTTTTTTTTAAGTGCAGTATTTTGCACTAGTGTAGTATTTTGTATTTTCATATTTTAAATACAAAAAGTCTTGTCCCACTGGCAGATTATTTTACTCGTCAAGTGAAATTTACTCAAACTTTCTTAATTCAAGTCGTCTTAACTTGACTAGATTTTGTTTTTTGCAGTGTAGACTTTGCTCTTTAACTGCACACAAAACTGCAAAAACTAAAATCTAGTCAAGTTAAAATGACTTGAATTAAGAAAGTTTGATCATGATTTGTGTAAATTTCACTTGACAAGTAAAATAATCTGCCAATGGAACAAGACTTTTTGTACTTAAAATATGAAAATACATCTTAAAATACAAAAAAAACAAACACTTTTTGGACTTAAAATAAGAAACAAAATCAAATGTTGCTTGGATTAAGAAAAACACACTTGTTCCATTGGTCGATAATTTGACTTGTCAAGTTAAATCGACTCAAATAAAGTCAGATGTTCTTAATTTAAATCATTTTAATTTACACAGATATTGCTTTTTGCACTACAACTACTGCTACTTCTACTTGAGTATATCTCTGTAATCATCGGTCCACGTGAAACAAAAAAGCTTCGACGCACATGAACTTTATTGGATTGAACTTTAAGACGTGAGATTAACAAATTTGCGGAGTCGATTCCAAACAAATAACGAGCAGGTTCAACATTTGTGGATCCGAAATTTGGAGATTTATTCAAAAACCACAAACCTCTCACAGAGTTACAGACGCCTGAACAACATCTGAAATCACGACGTGCCGGAATATTTACTCTTCTACTTCAGATTAACAAAGTGGAGTGTTAAAATTGACTCTCACAGAATCAATTTTAACATTTTCTCAGAGTTTATTTGAGTCCCATCTGTTCTAGAGTTAATTTAACACGTTTCTGGAAATGTTCATTAAGTAACACCGGACCAAAGTTCATGTTTAACTCCAAAATCAAGAGTTATATTAATGTTGTGTGAGTAAACAGATAACACTTTGTAGAGTTAACCAGAGATTTTTTTATTTTTACACTTTATTTGAGTTAATTTAAGATGAAATTATGAACAAAACTGGTTCAAACTGGTCTTCTCTCACGGGTGTTTGAAGAGGTGGGCGGGAGGAGACAAATTAACACTAGAGGAAGTTGAATTAACACCAACGATATCAACTCTGGCAAATAACTCCAACTCAAACGCCCATTCAACTTTCAAACAGTTAAAAATAACACTTTTTAAAACAACTTAAAAAACAACTCTTTAAAAACAACTCTGAAATATTTTACTCTGAAATTTTAACTCTCCAGTTTTTCCTCCAAATTACAAATTGTGCAGTAGAAATTAAATATGAGGCAAGATCTCGCGCAGTAACGAAAATGATCTCGTCAGCTTTTTTTTTCGATATTCTGACAAAAAACGGTTAAAGTTCTGCGGAGTTAAAGACGCCGTTGTTCCAAAAGGGAAAACATGAAATAAAACAAATTGCAAATAATGAGACCAAAATTGGAAAATA